AGCTCATTATCGTCATCCTGCCAGGGAAGACCCCAGTGTATGGTAAGGATAGCAGAAGACTGTGTTTTTCCTCACATGCTTTTTTTTTTTAAAAGAATTATTTAACTTTATTTGTTTGTTTATTTATTTATTTTAATTTGATCAGAGAGGGATAAAGCGAGAAAGAGAAAGAGGGAAAGTGAGAAAGCAAGCTGCCAGCTCCCAGACCTGAAACACTCAGCCATGTGGAGGTCCAGCATTCTTTACCAGCACACCACCTGCTGGCCCTTCTTCAAGTACTTTTTATTCATTTTAGAGTTATGCTAAAACGTACTCTCTTGCTTTCAAATATTAAATCACGGCGTATGATGCAGTATTTAACCCCATCCCATGTGTTGTTACTTTTAGACAAATCAGTAGCGCAAACTAAATAAACCAAGAAGAGACACTGTGAGAAGAATTTTGGTAGTCACAGGAAGTGTCCTGGGGCTGGCAGGTGGTGTGGTGTGGTGTGGCCGACTGTGGTTTGAGTCCTGCAACTGCAGGCTTGCTTTTTTACTTTACCCCTCTCATTCTCACTCTCACTCTGAACTTCTCTCTGGTCAAATTAAAATAAATAAATAAAGTTAAATAAAATAATTCTTTTTTAAAAAAGTATCACAAAACAATGGTCAAGGGACGAATTATTTAATAGAAATGGCACTGAGGTAACTTGAGTATCAGTGTAAGGTAATGGCTAAACACTCAGGCTCTGGAGTGATCATCGTTGCTCGGTGTTCAGGTGTTGCCGGGTACTGCCTGTGTGATGTGACTTGACTACATTTTCACACCGAGGTCTCCTCATTTGTGGAACCCGTATTTAGGGTAGTTACAGGGATTAAAGGAATCTGGATGTATAAAGTACCTCAAATACTACCTTTCATACAGCATACTCAATAAAAGTAACTTATTATTGTAAACAAAGTTTTGTCAGATTATATTTGCATGGCATCTCTCCTGGGGGCTGATTTCTCACTTCTGTCTGTCTGTCTCTCTCTCTGTCTCTCTGGCAAGGACACGCACTCTATAGCAGAAATCTCTCTTAAAAAAAAAAAAGTTATATTTGCATCATGGAAAAAAGGAGAAAAACAGAATTTTCAAACCACCGACTAGAGCAAAAATCCCTTAAGCTTAGAAAACAGAGAAACCAGCAGTTGGCATAGTGGTTGTGTTACTGGACTCGCATGTAGGCAACTGTGGTTTGAGTCCTGGACCCAGTGGCTTAAAACTCAGGCTGGGTGTGTGTGCATGCATGCCCCAAATCCTGAGAGGGCAGTGGAGAAGGGACTGTGGTGTGGCTATACCTCTGGGGCGGTTAACTTCTCACTTTCTGTCTGTCTCTCCAGCGAGCACTTGTTCCCTATAGCAAAAATCTCTCTTAAAAAAACAAACGAACGAACAACAACAACAACAAAAACATGGAGGCCAGCAGGTGGCATGGTAGTTAAGGGTAGTGGACTCCCACATGGCCAACCATGGTTTCAGTCCCAGACCTGGTAGCTTGCTTTCTCACTTTCTCTCTTCCTCTCTCTGATTGAATTTTAAAAATAAATAAATAAATGAGTAAACTAAATAAAATAATTTTAAAAACTCACACAAAAATCACAGGAACCAGCAGGTAGCCTAATGGTTATATCCCGGAATCCCACATAATTGACTACAGTTCATGTCCTGGACCCAGAATGGTATCTCTCCTAGGGGCTGATTTCTCGCTTTCTGTCTGTCTCTCTCTCTCTCTCTCTCTCTCTCTCTCTCTGGCAAGGACATGCACTCTATAGCAGAAATCTTTCTTTAAAAAAAAAAAGAAAGGAAGGAAGGGCCGGCAGGTAGCTTGGTGGTTAAGGGCGTTGGTACTCCCACATGGCTGACCCTGGTTTGAGTCCCGGACCTGGTGGTTTGCGCGCGCGCTCTCTCTCTCTCTCTCTCTTTGTCCCTCCCTGGTAAAATTAAAATAAATAAAGTTAAATAATAAATAATTATTTAGGGCTGGCAGGTGGTGTGGTGGTTAAAGGGGTTTGATTCCCACATGGCCGACTGTAATTCAAGAGTTCAAGACCTGGACCTTACAGCTTGCTTTCTCGCTTTCTCTTTCTCTCTCTCTCTCTCTCTCTATCTCCCCCTCTGGTCAAAATAAAAATAATGATAGCAAATGGAATTAAATAAATAAATATTTTAAAATAAATAATAATTCCTTAAAATAATAAAAAAGGAAACAAACCACAAAGGAAAATTGTTTGAATTGACTGTATACAAATTAAATTCTGTATGTTATAAATGTACTAAAATAAAAAAGAAACCAATAGACTAAGGTGATAGATCTGCATTTCGGGTGGCCTCATGCAAAGTCTATAACTAATTGTAGTGTATTTAAACTTAACTTGTTTAAAAAGCTGTATTGTAATATTCATGATAAATTGTTTATTATTTTAAAAAATTAAAGTATTTTTAGTGAGTAAAAAAAAGAAAAAAAGAAACCAATAGAATGTGAAAAATATTTGCATCATGGGAACCAGCAGTTAGCGTAATGGCTATGTCGCTGGACTCCCACGTAGTCGACCGTGGTTCGCGTCCCGGACCCAGTGGCTTAAAACTCACACCGAGCGTGTGCGTGTGCGTGCCCAAGATCCCGAGAGGAGAATGGAGGAGAAGTGATTGTGGCGTGGCCATCCCCCCCTGGGGGTGATTTCTCGCTTTCTGTCTCTCTGTCTCTCTCTGTCTGGCGAGCGCACGTGCCCTACAGCAAAAAACCTCTCCAAAAAATATATATATATTTGCAACAAATAGGCACAATAAACAACTAGTCTATTATTAAAATATTCATGCAAATTGATTATTGGGAAAGGGAAAAAATGTTTTATACTTTTAGATTAGTGAGAAAAAAAAGTTACCAAAGTTTCTCAAATAAAAACTAAACAAAAAATTATATGAGATAATGTTTATTTTAACCAGTAGTTTAAAAATTACTAATTGGGTCCGTGGGTGGTTGAGTGACTGGACTCGGACATGGCCAACTGCTGTCTGAGTCCCAGGCCTGGCAGCTTGCTTTCTCACTTTCCCTCTCTCTCTTGCCAAATTAAAAAATAATGATATTAAATAAAACATTCTTTTTGGGACCAGCAGTTAGCGTAATGGCTTTGTCGCTGGACTCCCACGTAGTCGACCACAGTTCGAATCCCGGACCCGGTGGCTTAAAACTCATGCCGGGCGCGTATGCTTGTGTGCTCAAGATCCTGAGAGGAGAATGGAGGAGAAGGGATTGCAGCATGGCCATCCCCCCTGGGGGGTGATTTCTCGCTTTCTGTCTCTCTGTCTCTCTCTGTCTGGCGAGCGCACGTGCCCTATAGCGAAAACCTCTCAAAAAAAAAAAATTCTATTTTTTTTAAATAATTATTTTATTTTTAACTTTATTTATTATTAGTATCATTTTTTTTTTCAGTTCGATCAGAGAGGAAGTGAGAAAGCAAGCCACCAGGTCCAAGACTTGAACCGTGGTCGGCCATGTGGGAGTCCAGCGCCTTTAACCACCACGCCACTTGCCAGCCCCTGAAATTCTATTTTTTTAAAGGAGAGATTGATTTTGGGCACATATGTACACACGCCTGGTGTGAATTTTAAGCTACCAGGTCTGGGCCTCACACCGCAGACAACTTTGTAGGAGTCTAATGATGTAACCATTATGCCTTCTGCTGATACCAAATAAAAAATTATTTTAAAAATGTACAAATGGATAAAAGAAATAATTTCATGCTACTTAATTAGCAAATATATTTTAATTTTATAATACCTAGTCATTATATGTGACTCAGTACATTGCTCATGACAGTGTACGTTTTTTTAAAGAATTATTTTAACTTTATTTATTTAATTTATTTTAATTTGACCAGAGAGGGACAGCGTGAGAGAAAGAGGGGAAGTGAGAGAGCAAGCTGCCAGGTCCAGGACTCAGCCATGTGGGAGTCCAGTGCCCTTTACCACCATACCACCTGCCAGCCCCAGCAGTATAAATTGGTAATATCCCTTCCATCAAACGTATAAACATGTGTTGGGGCCAACAGGTGGTGTGATGGTTAAGGCTCTAGACTCCCGGATGGCTGATTCTGGTTCAATTCCCACCCAGCCGCTTGAAAGGCACACCTGACAAGTGTACATGTGTGCCTAAAATCCCAAGAGGAGAATGGAAGAGAAGGGATTGCTTCCTGGCCATTGCCCCCACCAGAGAGGCGGGGATTTGTCACTCTCCCTCTCTTTGTCTTTGGTTTCTCTAGCACACACCCTATAGCACAAACCTAAAAATAAAATAAAATAAAAAGTATAAACATGTATTCTTTGTCTATCATTTAGTATTTCTAATTTCAAGAATCTATTCAAAGGAAATAATTTATCCTGTAGAAAAATCTCTGTGCACAAATTTTTATAATGGTATCTATAATAGTAAAAGAACTACAAAGGAAGCCAGCAGGGAGCATGGTGGTTAAGGCACTGGACGCCCACATGGTAAACTGCAGTTTGAGTCCTGGCCTGGCAGCTTGCTTTCTCTCTCTCTCTCTCTCTCGCTCTCTCATTCTCTCTTTCTCTCTGGTAAAATTTGAAAATAATTACAATAAATTAAATTAAAATAATTCTTTTTAAAATATTAAAAACTGCTAAGAACTAGTCTTAAACAATGGTTTAATTATATAGTATATTAATTAAATATATAGTGATTAAAAATGATAATTATAAAATTCAAAGCATAGCTTAAAAGTTGTGATAAAGGGCTAGCAGGTGGCATAGTGTTTATGTCGCTGGACTCCCACATGGCCAGCAATGGTTCAAGTTCCTGATCCAGTAGCTTGGAACTCAAGCCGAGCTTATATTTGTATGTGCCCAAGATCCTGGGAGGCGAATGGAGAAAGGAGATTGTGGTATGGCCATCCTCCTTGGGGGGTGATTTCTCACCTTCCCTCTGTTTGTCTGTCTCTCTCCTGCAAGCGCATATACCCTAAGGTCAAAACAAAACAAAACAGAACAATCTCTTAAAATAA